GTGGCGGAAGTGCTTCAGTCAGAGCCAAGTCTTCAAAAGTTGGGAGCTTCCTGGGCATTTCACTCGTCACATGGTGCCAGATGTACGACCAGGATTTGGTTTTTACTACCACTGAGGCTAGGATATGCTGCTTTGCGGGGATGTCACAGTCTCCGGTACACTCAGGTCTATAGTGTATATCCAGGTTCAACATTGGCATCACTTCAGATGTCCCCGTGTCATTGGGCTTTGTCGCTCAGGTCAGGGCCGGGATGGAAAGGACTCCGCTCGTTGGATGTGTTGTTTGTGTTGTCTACCTCCGCGGATTGAGGCTAGGGGGTGCATCAAGCTTTCCCTTTTCTTATTGAATATATTTTTGGATCCACTGACTGAGGCCCACCAATTCGCCTACTGTATTTATGTTGCTGTTTGTCATTCTGATTGCTTTTGCCGTGGTCATGTTAACAGACTGTTATATTTACAATGCTTCATCGTTTGGGCATCACAGTGCGCCAACTCCATCAAAATGCAGCATTTTGCAGGGATGCCCCGTGCACATGATGGACACGGATGAAACATGATGAAACCCCGACCTCAGCTGAAAGAAACGCTTCCAGAATAAGCAAACCTGTCAGCAGAACCAACAAACAATCATGATGCGAGATGACAACAAGCTTGATAGGGCATGACAAAGTGCATGAAATACGATGATAAGGTCCACTCTGCAGGTCCATTGAATGAACGAGCCACCGGTTGTTGGGCCACACTTGTGGAGTCGAGAATGCAAGTTATCACATGCACAAACCCCCTCCCCGACCCGTTCCAGGAAGTCATTGTGGGATGCCTAGCTTGTGTCGAGGCTCGATGCAAGAACCGAAACACAAAGAACACTGTTGTAGGCCCACGCCTGCTTCTCATGCATTGAGAGATCGATGCGAAAATCCTCCACTGGGGTTGAAGCTTTGCCAGGCAGTCTACGATGGCATCTCCATTTTGCCTTATTTGTCGGCTGCCCAGTTGGCTCGTTCAAACCTGACCTGCCAAAGTAAGTTGTTTTGGTTGGGCAAGAGTTGTTCACCCTTCGGGATTCCCTTTGTCTACCGGGACCGTTGTGAGCACAAAGTGAGAGAGAGAGAGAGTGTCGTTGACGTGATTCTAAGCCATGGCCAACTCTGTGTCAATTGAGTCCACAGGTGTTGAGGTGCTTTGACATGTCACCATCCGCCCTCATCCGCTTGATCCGCAGTCCTGCCCGACGTATCAAGACTTCGCGTGGAAACCTCTGCTGCGCGGGATGAGGCCTGGAAACCTCCAGAAGAAGATTGGCCCTTTGAAGGGAACGCTCAACAAGATCGAACAGGTGAGAGGGACCACCGAAAGACGTTCTCGGTGACCGCTTGGATGTCCTCTTATGAGTATACATGAGTATACGCATCTCTGAAAGTCTTATGGCCTTTTGAGGCCTGGTATTGTTATGTATTGTTTAGCTACATGTTGGATCGTCGATGATGAGAGACAGGATTGGTATCAAGGAGACATTGTTGCTACTTCGCACTCCGCTTGGAATCAGGAAGCTTCTTGTTCAGTTGAGCTGTCCAGTGAACCGATGATGCATGTACGTATCAAGATATATCACATTGATGTGCATGTGTGCGTGGCACACGTTATGTTGCGCAACTTCAAATATAGGCGCCCAAACTATCGGTTGGACAAAAACGCTACGGCACACTAGGGACAGACAGATAACGTACGGATCTTTTTTGCCCCATCCGCGCTGGGCGTCACCAGGTGCTGTATGAATTGGCGCTTCTATCACAAGGCTGGAAGCTGCTGGTTTGGGGTGCCTAAAGTTGTCATATGGCTGACACTTTTGCGGTGAGTCATGGAGAGCTTGCTGTAAACAACTGCGCTGTTGAAGTACTGTAGATGACTGTGGGGAAAGGTTCCCTCGCACTGGCTATTTATATAGGTGGTGCAAAGGTCGGTTCGAACAGAGTTTTCGAGGTGTTTATTCAATATATAAATACTTAGGCGAGAGATGCGCTCACAGATCACCTTTGCATGACCTTGCGCAAACCCAGACACTAGAGCCAACTAGAGCAACTAGAGCAGATCCCGCTAAATACCTCGGGGACCGAGCATACGGCAAGAAACGTGCCAAACGATTGCAAATGCAGGAGTGAAAACCACCTTTGAAGAAATAAATGACGACAGTGATCTCGGAAATTAACGGTACAAATGAACAGTTAAATCAACCTATGACAGATTCAATCAATAGTGCATTTATCAATATATATATATATACGTCACACTATTTACACAATAATTATGATAAACCAACATCATATGCCACAACATCTTACAAGTATAATATAAGATATATCTAAGTTGATCCCTATATAGTAATATTACAACAGTGTTAGTTAATCAAAAACAACTCCAGTGTTTATTGATAAAAAGGAGGCCGAGGAGGAGGCCACTGAGTTGAGAAGAAGAGTAAGGCAATGAGAAAGGCAAAGGCCTGCAAAGTTGAGAACGAGAAGAAAGACGAATGGACAATCTCACCGCTGCTTCAGGACTATCATATCCAAAAAGAATCCGTTGGTCAGCATTTCTCAGGAGGCCTAGATCCCAGCCCTGAGGGAAAGCGAAGTATCCACCACCTCCACCGGCACCGCGGGATCGACGAAAGCATCGCAGCCCCGTGTGGCGTGATCGTTCGGGCGCTAAGCACCGATCGTTCGGGCGTGCGGCGTGCGACCGGTGGGAGAACTAGTGGAGATGGCCTCCAAAAGTGAGGATAGTGAGGACGCAAAGGCGAGCCATTTGGTGCGGGAGCGCTCGACAGATAAAGGAAGCGTAGCTCCTGTTGATCGGGGCTGGGATGCTTGGAAAGGAGGAATAGAGCTCAGAGAGGTTATGACCGACGCCATCGCAAGGAGGGCTCCTCAAAGGGATCGAAGTCGTCTTTATTGAGGCAACGCACTTCAAGTCGAAGTGCCGGATCGTAGGTGATTAAGGATATACTGTAAGAGGCAGCGTATATTACTTGGTCAAATTGTTGCTTAGGTTACCAAATGTTTGGTGATGAGGGGATATTGTTTTTTGTTGTGCACTAGATTGCACCAAAGAGAGTGCAGTAGATTTTTTGTTATGCCAACAAGATTATATAACAAATATTCCTAGGGGATGCCGACGAAGGTTGGATTCGGAATTTCATTAAAGGAGGTGCGGGAGCAGAGGACGAATGGTAATTTTGAGAGAACGACGACGCACAACGGAGGAGATGAAATTAGAAAAGATATTTACATGTTTAGGAAATTGAGATAAGGGGAAAGGACGAAGGAAAAGGCTAAGAAACAGATACAACAAGAATCGTCGATACTTTAAACAAGGAGGATGAGCAGAAGAAATACAAACATTTTGTGAGAGGTGAAATAAAATGGTATGCAATTTAAATCGGTAGCATTTGGCGGGATTGTCTTGGATTTCCAAGAAAAGGTTCGAAGGTTCGAATATTTATTATGCTATTAATGGAAATTAAGGAATAAATAATATATTAGATTATTTGTATTTTAAATATTAAAATAATATAATGAAATATTATATAGAATTTACGACGAAGTAATCACGAAAGCTAGCGAAGCTAGCTGGAGTTACTCTTGCGATAGCAAGGTTTCTTTCGATCGGGTGCAAATCCTAACCCCTGATTTTTCAGGTCGAAGCCCCCCTTCCCCTCCTTATCTCCCCACCTCTCCTCTCCTCTTCCTTGTCTTCCTCTATCTTTTTTTTTCCCCTCCCTCCTTCCTCCTTTTTCGCAAGTTCGATTCCGTTCGACTCCGTCTTGTCGTCGCTCTTTGGCATGCGGTTAGCGTTGCGTATCTTGCGGCCGCACTCTCTCACTTTCACTCTCACTCTTATTGTCATTGTCATTGTTTCACTCTTATTCTCTCACTCTCACTGTGTCTCTCTCTCTCTCTCTCTTTTATCTTTTTCTTTCATTTCTCTCTCTCATCTCTCTCTCTTATCTCTTTCTTTTATCTCTCTCTCTCATCTCTCTCTCTCTCTCTCTCATCTCTGTCTTTTTTATCTCTCATCTCTCTCTCTCTCTCTCTCTTTTTCTTCTCTATCTCTCGTCTTTCCGTCTCTTTTTTCTCTTCTCTTGCAGGAGGATCCGGGCAAAGAGCCACATATAAAGGACTCTTCACCTGGAATCGTTTATCCAGCCCAACTTGTGCAAGGCGTTTTACCTTCTGCTATTCCGTGCAGATCCGCTGCTACTAAAGCCTATTTGGCTTCGAGATATATTTGTAAATCGTTTTGCCCTCCATTTTCCTATTCTGGAGTGCTAACTTTCGCCCCCCCCTTGGCCTCAAATTTTCTTATAATATTTTTTGGGTAATATTTTATTGGAGGATAGCTCCTAACATGAAAATGTAAAGTAAACCTAGTTTATTTGGAAGTATATTTCTTTGATTATTTTCTAGCGATTTTCGGGAATTATAGGGACGTTCGGTTTCTTAGGCAATGCATATTGTTTTTTTTTTTTTGCCTTCTTCGTTTGTTGATTGGATTTATTTGTCTGTGGTCTATTCTTGGATATATTTATATGGTCATTAATTTGGTCGTAAATAATGTTTTCGTTTAGATTTACGTCTTCGTAAATTCTAAGGAATATATAAATGTAATATTATATTCTATAAAAATTATATTCGAACGATATTTGAAATTTACGGAAAATATATATATTTATTCTAAAGATATTTTTGTTGCATGAATTTGAATATTTAATTTGCAAATTGTATTTGCGTAAAATATATTTGTTTTTTAAATAAAAGATATAAATACATAATAAATATATAAATATATATTATGATATGGGGAATAATATTAGTTTATATATTTTTTAGATTGATATATGAATTATTATATATATTATTCTGGCATTAGCAGATTGGTCCGAGAGCCATTGTACGCCACTATAATGAACAATATAGTGATTTGCTTCAATTTACCTAGACGTTCAAAGACCGTGTATGTTGGGCTGCCAACCTTGGTTCTGGTAAGGGAACCTGTCCATTGTGCCGAATTTCGACTCAGAAGCTTCAATCTCCCACATGCGGGGTATTGTATCAGCTCACAAGCTTGGCAGGTCACACCATGCACCCACCGAATTTTCCGGTGATGGCAGTGCTTAAGAGATTATGGATTGCTGCATTCGATGCTGAAAACATGGGGGTTCACCATCCTGCCCTTGAGACCAGATCGAAACCACCACAGCCATATAATGCTGAGACAGCTGCCACCTCACGGACTGACCCTCAGACCAGCCCGAACTGTTTGCACATATGTGACAAGTGTCATATGAGTTTCCTCAGTGCTCAGGGCTTGATGCAACATATGACCCAAGCCCACTCGGTCAGTCCTTCCACCGATTTGTCCGGCTCGCCACAGGTGAACACGTCCAGCTCATCAACAACCATCCGAGGCCGACCGTCTAAAAATTCCATGACCTGTTCGCTTGCCCAGGTATTTCGTATGCCAAGCACAGGACCTACCTGAACCGATGATTGTCTTTAAGTGTCCATTGTGCCTTGTTATGGTTGGGAGAAAAGCAGTTGTTGCTCACCTGAAAACGGTTCACCAATTTGAACGGCCTGATGAATTTGAATTCATTCCCAGCCGTGACGTCACTCCAGGACGTTTGACGTGCGCCTACTGCAAGGTCACTTTCAGTGTTGAATTTGCAAGTGCAGCTTGATCAAAGTTGCTTGGATTCTGCCAAATCTGCCCAGCAAGGTGGCTAATCATTTCTTCAATCGCTGTGCTATCGCATTGGCCAGCGGGCTCCTCTGTAGACCTGTTGGTCGATATCGCATGGCAATCAGCTGTGTCAATCCATTGCCGCTCAGTTGGGTGAGCAGCTGATATAGGTCCGTGCTTTGGGGACCTCTCATCGAACGATCCAATATCCAAGGCATTGAAACCTAGTGGTCGTCCGGCACCGAGTTCCTGGGGAGGGGCTTCATAGCCGCAAACTTTATTTCGGGCTTCAAGGTCAGCTGTAGAATGCGCATCAGCATCTCGTCCAATTGAGTGGAACTCAGTGGATCTAGTTTCATGCGTTTGAGACACTTGGCATTGTGATCCCAACCCAAAAAGTTCCAATGATTGGACTGCGTCAAAATTTGTCTCGGCCTCAATCCTTTCACCAACACGTCGTCGGGTGCATCGAGCTTCAACATGTGTGCCCATTTCGAAAGCTCTTCGATGAGGGTGCGGAACAGAAGTTATCTCAGCGGCTGAGTCACGCCGTTATTCTGACGATTGTGGTGCCAATCCTTGGCGGCTTGCAACATTAATGGCACTGCCCTTCCCACATTGCAGGAACACGATGAACGATCTGTCCATGGACATGGCATTGAGCATATCTTCCTGTCTCAAACAAAAGCGTGCCAGCATCATCGTCAGGTCTCCCGTAGAGTCCGAGGAGCTAGAGGATTGGTTGGAGCGATGCCGTCCATGTTGCCGGTCAAACGGTCCAATAATGTCTATCCATGGCCGTTTGCCAAAGTGCTCCCCACAGATTTCCATCAGATCTGCAAAGCTCTGATCGTCTGCGTGCATGCTCTCGGACATGGTGGGAGGTCAATGAGCGATCCAAGCAAATGTTTTGGGCCAATGTGTGCTCAATGGGAAATAGAATAGTCACAAGCAGCTCAACTTGATGGATCCACGTCTCAGGAATCATCTGATCAACAAAATCTGGAAGATCTGTGGCGGCAAATGGCACAGGGTGTATCAGGATGCAAATCCATGTGAGGTCTAGGCATACCTATGGCAAAGCGGCCAGTGCACAATCCAGTTCACCAGATTGATTTGCCAAGCGAGTCGAACTTCTGGCCAAAAGGGAACTGTGTGCATGATATGTGGTAGGCGTCGTGTCAACAAGCTCCATGCTGGGTCCAATTCATGCTCACTCAGCTCACTCCGAATCAATCCATAACGAGAGGATTCCGGACAGTCAGGCTCCGGGATTGGATCAATCGATACATGGCTGCAATCGTGGACTGGCATGGTAGCATGATTGGACACAGCGCCAAAGTGCAAATCAGAGGCCAATTAACACAATCTGACAGGACAGGAGGCCTTCTTAAAGTGAGTCCTGAGCGGGGATATGCTCAATCCCTGGCTTCGACAGCATGGCGACTCACAGCAAGATGCCGCCGA